CCAGCAGCTCAGCCCCAGCCTGTCCTGGTGCCTGGGGTTGTTCCTCCCCAGGTGCAGGACCCTGCCCTTGCCCTGGTTGAACCTCATCAGGTTCCTCTCTGCCCAGCTCTCCAGCCTGCCCAGGGCTCGCTGGATCCAGCACAGCCTGCTGGTGTATCCACCACTCCTCCCAGTTTGGTGTCATCAGCAAACTGGCTGAGGGTACAACTCTAACTCTTCATCCAGGTCATTGATGAAGAAGATGAACAAGGCTGGGCCCAGTACTGACCCTGGAGAACACCACTAGTTCCACGGCTCCAACCAGACTCAGCGCCGCTGATGACAACCCTCTGAGCTCTGCCATTCAGCCAGGTCTCTAATTTATTAACATTTACTCCCGAATTTTGCTTTGTCCAACGTACTTTTACTTATTTAAGGCATTAAAAACCTGGAGTAAGTACTCCCCCTGCAGAAATACCACATCCTGGCTCAAAACTCACAGCACATGTTGATAGGAATCTTTGGGGAAAGAAGCCTGTTTCTTAGTGCTTAAATGTTAATAAAGATCAGCGAGGAGCTGTCTATGTCGTAGAGCCGAGCATCTACTGCAACACTGGCTACAAAACCCACACCACAGCAGCAGCAGCCAATTCTTAATCAGAATTACTAATTTAAACTCAGATTAAGTATGAAATAGCACTTTGTTTTCCTTAGCACTGCTCTAGAAGTACGTAAGCAAGGCAGTGAGAGCGTTCCTTAGAATTATTATTTTACTGAAGAACCCCAAATCTCAGCTGGAAATGCTGCACTCCAAGTCCAGAATTTGGTTTTTTAGGGTTTTTTTGCGAGACATGGACGAAAACTTGGTGTAAAATCCTATTTTACAGTTACAGCAGGTGACAGGAGGACGGCCGAGCCAGCTCCGGCCACTCGCTCCAATCACGAAACGCCAGGAAGGAGCCCAGCAAGGAACAAACCGAGCAGCGATGCCTCTTAACGAGCAGCGGGTCGTTACCGCGTCTCCTCCCCTCGTGCCCCGCGCTCACCTGTCTCCGCCAGATCCGTAGTGCCCTCCCTGCATCGCGTCCGCATCCATGTGCGACACCATGTCCAGGCGCTGGCTCATTTTCCCCATGTCGGCGTTGCCGCCGCCCGAGCCGTCGGGGTTCATGTCCATGTCCGAGTTGCCCATTTCCCAGGAGTTCGACGCGGCCATGCCGTACCCGTAATTACCCGAGTTATCCTGGCCGTATCCATAGCCGTAACCGTACCCCTCGTAACCTGGAACGACAAAAATCAAAGAACCGGGTTTATTTCCAGTTATCCGGCTTCGTTAACGTTTTAATTTGAATTAAGCTGCATCAAGGAATCACCACAGGAAATTAAAATAATAAAAATAAAAGCTTAAATTTCTATTTACGGCACCTATAAACTTTGAACCGTTGAGCTCGAAGGTTTAAGGGACAATTTGCTCGCGTAAGTCCCATAAAACGCAGCCACGGCCTTCAGCTTCCTCCGCCCACCCTGCTCCGGAGAGGAAGAACCACGGCCAAGGCAGAGCCTCCATAAAAACCCATTTCGGGTTAACACAGCGCCAGCAAAGAACCACTTTAAGCTGTATTTTTAATTTGATAGGAAGCTGTTGGGAGCCAGACGAATGTAGCTAGGATGTGTCTTTGCCGGGACCTGTATCAGCTGCTTTATAACCCCTTAAATCCAAGGGGATGACGCGGTGGCACGTACCTGTCCTCTTCAGAGATGCTACAGCCGAGCACCAGAAGCAAAACCACTTCCAGCCCAGCGTTTCCCACCCATTTCGTATCAGAATGTGACAGAGAAGCTTCTCCTCTTGCTAAAGAAGCCAAAACTGTTACAAAAAGGACAAAAACCACCGTGGCAGTAACACACAAAGCCAACAAAAGGCTTAAAATTTAGATTTTCCTTCCCCCAGCCCTTTTATTTGGCTGTTGGGAAAGGGAGAGGGAGTTTGTATCCCTGCCGCCTCCCCAAGCCTTGATTTACATCATCGCCTGCACTGACATCATTCGGGTTTTCCATGCAGCAAAAAGGGGTTTTTTTGGGGGGAAAACCAACCCCAAACCCCAAATATTCTGCCTAGAACAGTTTTCCTGCGCAACCAGTTACAGCAACAAAGTTTTCCTGTTGGCTTCAACGTGAATTTTTAAAGTAAAAGACGAAAAGCGCCGCGCAGGCAGAACAGCCAGAGGCTACGCGGGGTCCGTGCCGCAGCGGGGACCGCGGTCGTTCGTCGCTGACCTCGTCGCGTCTGCTTCTGGCTCAGGAAACCGATCTGAGGCGGAAGGCAGAATCACAGAATCACAGAAAGTTTTGGGTCGGAAGGGACCCCCAGAGGCCATCTAGTCCAACCCCCCCGCAGTGAGCAGGGACACCGCTAACGAGATCAGGGTGCTCAGAGCCCCGTCCAACCTGGTCTGGAATGTTTCCAGGGATGGGGCCTCCACTGCCTCTCTGGGCAACCCGTTCCAGTGTTTCACCACCCTCATTGTAAAGAATTTCTTCCTT